GACCGTGAATGGCCTTGTAGGTGAGGATGAGGATCTTGAATTTTTTCACTTTATTATGTGATTTTCTGGTTGGAAGTTTGGCAGTTATTATGTTACTAGAGTGTCCCAGCGAGAGCTCCATCTCATAAATAATAAAGGTGATAGGAATATTCGTCTCCAAATCCTTAATAAGGAATCCGAGTCACTCAAATGGGGACTTCTTTCAACAATAGGAAATTTATCATGTTGACTTGTAGAAACTTTGCTCAACTTCTGAATTGGAGTACCAATAGGGTTGACGGAAATTCTAATGGAATACAATACACTGTACATTTATATAGCTCCTTTCAGCTGAGGAGGACATCCCAAAGTGCTTAGTAGTATCGGTTGGGTACCTGAACTGGAAGTGGGAGTCCAATGGGTGGGAAGGGAAAAGATGACCAAAAGCGCAGTCAAAGACGTACGTCTTGAGGCAGACTTTGAACAAGGTAAGGGTGGGAGTAAGTCGAAGAGACTCCTGAATCTAGTTCTAGAGAATGAGGGCAGACTGTGTTTTTAAACTCAGAAGCATTGGAGAAACCTTTATGATTAATACGTCAGTGAGTGGGTTGGAAGAGTCCATTTGTACTTTAATATAACCAGTATGCAACTAATTGCTGGAGTATGCATTCTTCAATTTAAGGTTTCACTTTTCAAAATGCTCCACTGTTGACGTTGTTTTATAAATGACATTTCTCATGCCATTTGAAATAAAAGAGGATTTCAGAAAAGAGGAATGTTTTCCTTCTGAGTAGTGTAGAGGTGCAAGAGATTCCTGGCAAAAACATTTGATGCTGTGAACCTCCCTAGAAAAATGAACAAATAACAACAACAAAATTATATTTATAGACCGCCTTTCACGTTGGGAGGACGTCCCAAGGTGTTGGACAATCAGGGGTCAGGACCCGAGCATGGGGGAAGGGTGGGTTAGGGGTGAGGGAAGGCAGAGAGGTGGGAGGGTGACTGAAAGCACGATCGAAAAGGAGGGTCTTGAGACAGGCCTTGAAGGAGGCAAGGGAGGAAGCGAGGCAAAGGAACTGTGGGATGGAGTTCCAGAGTGTGGGGGCGTAGAGGCTGAAAGCCCGGCCACCGATAGTAGGGCAGGTCGGGCAGGAGACATGGAGCAAGCCGGAGCCCGCTGAATGGAGCGAGTGGGCAGGTTGGTTGGGAGTCAGCAGGTTAGAGAGGTAGGAGGGGGCAAAGCCATGGATGGCCTTGAAAGTGAGGATGAGGATCTTGAATTCGATCCTCTGGGGGATGGGGAGCCAGTCGAGTCGGGCGAGAGTAGGAGTGATGGGATGACAGAGTCTGAGTACACGAGCTGCAGAGTTTTGGATGATCTGCAGATTGTGAAGGGAAGAGTTGGGAAGGCCGATGAGGAGGGAGTTCCTGTAATCGAGCCTTGATGTGGTGAATGCATGGGTGAGGGTTTCGGCAGCTTGAAGAGTGAGGCAGTGTCGGAGTCTGGCAATGTTGCGGAGGTGGTGGTAGGCAGTGCCGGTGATGGCGCAGATGTGGGGGAGAAAGGACAGTTCAAGCTCAAACAAGACACCCAGGTTCCTGACTGGCTTAGTGAGGTTGAGTGTGCAGCCGTGGAGGCTAATGCTGCCAGCGTCCGAGGTGCGGAGGCGCTGGCGCGAATAAATCAGCAGGGCCTCAGTCTTGCTGATGTTCAGTTGGAGAAACACAGAGGTGGAAACACACCTCTGTTTCCTAGCAGTAAGCAGGAATCCAGTTGGTATTTGATTGATGGATCGCTGTTCCTGGGGTGATAATCCCTTTTTAAAAAAAATGTAGTTACACAATCCACGACTGAGACACTGCTGTGCACAATTGGCTGCCACGTTTCGCTCAGAAAATATATAGTCACTTCACTTTGCAGTCTATCCTGTGAAGCGCTTTGAGACTCTCGAAGATATTATTATCCTCGCTCTCTCTTGGCAGCCCCCTTAAGTTGCAGTGATCAAAACTGTTTGCAGTACTCCAGGGACAGCTTGAGAATAGCAGTATACAGATTGACAAGATGAGACGTTAAATATTAAATAATAATAATCCTCGCATTCTCGTAACACCGTTTCAGGTGGACTGTAAAGATCCCTTGGCAGTGTTAGAAAAGAGAAGGGAGTTTCTTACAATGTTCTGGCCAACAATCCTGCAGATAAAACTGATCATATCATCCACTTAATGGCTTTTTGTGGCCATTGTTATGCTCTAATTAGTGCTGTGTTTACCTTCCAAATACATGGTCATTGGACTTTGCAATCAATCCTGTGAAGTACTTTGAGATGTTTCAATAATGTGATCAGGAGCCATGTCAATTGCACAGTATGAAAGACACTGCTGAGATCGTACATGTGCTGGGTTGGTGAACCCAATTAAACTGCATACTGAGGAGCAGTAGATAAAATTCTATTCACATGTAGTAGTTTAACTACTATTCTTCCTTTGGAAAGTTTGGTGACCAATTAAACGTTAATCTCACCTTCTGCGTTGTGGGCGGTCCACGTGTCAGCAGAGTGATGAGTGATTGGCTGCTGATTTCTGCTGGGATTCTGTATATATCTGTGGCAGGATGTGGGTGCCAATATTGTTCCTTTTAACAGTCTATCACATGATCAAAGGCAGTTCTGCAGTCAGCTTCGAATGTGCTTGAATTTGATTCTGGTTCAGGCGCAACATTCTTATGGCGTCAGTGGAGTCCTGAGAGCAGAAACGCAACAAAACGAGTGATTCCCTCTCAGTGAGTGTGACAACTTTATCCACTTCCCCATCTTGCAGTGTGGTGCCTGACCAAACCCGACTGAGTAACGGCTTAAGGTACTGACTTACTTCCTTGTTTTGACTTTTGATCGTTGGGAGTGACTTTTGATCATTGAGAGTCACTGTTTCTATCTTGTGGCTCCTTTGCTTCACAGACGACATTTTATGGGAAAAATGCACCAGCCAATTGCGTTCAGCAGTCGTTGTTTGAGTGACCACATTTCTTTTCTAGCAACCACTTTAAAACAAAGATGAAAGTTGAGATGTGTTTATCCTTTACTTGTATAGGACTCACTAGTTTATGTTAGGTCACATATTGTCATGGCACAATATGATGCTCTAGTCTGCTCAACTGCACTGTTTGAAACAGATTATTACTGCATGATTTACCATATAGAGGTCCTGATCCATTGAGAGCTCTATGAAAACTGCTTTCTCAGCAAGGTTGGCAAATGGTAATAGACAGATGGGAATCCTTCGTAGATGTTATTTCCATGTTTTAGTCTACTTCAAGCAAGGTACCCATAAATGTTTCACATATAAAGATCTTCCTTTCAACACACCAAACCCAGCTTTACTGCGCATTACAGGAGTCCATTTTTGATCTTGAGAAATGTCACACAACTGTTTTGTGTCGTTATTTTGGTTCGAAACCCAGAACATCCGGCCAGTCCAAATCTTTCAAACAGGGTGTTAAAAGAAATGACTCACACTCAGTTATTGATCTGAGTAGACATAAAATCTTCGGCTAGCTGCCTGCCTAATTGAAATAAATTCATATTCAAATAAAATCCTGGGTGAGCATTTTGTCTTGCCATTAAGCTCTGTATTTGAAGATGTGCACTTCTCACAGGAAAGTCCCACTCTAAGCCACTACACTTAGCGGAAATAGGTATGTTATTTGGGCAACACAAAATAAGGAATAAATAGATCTGTCTTTTAGACGATCTGTCTAAGAGACGAAGGTCAGACTGTATACAATATAAGCTCAATGCCTGCTTCAATCTATCTAACACTGAATTATAGGTGATTGCTGATAGAGAAATCTTTTAAATTAAAAAAAGCTTTTCTTTAGATTTACAGACCACATGCATTTGGTAACGTCTGACATGGAAGTGCTTCCAATAAAGTGGAAGATTTTAAATATTCAAAACTAATTTAGGTAATGTTCTCTGGTATGAATAGGCTGAAAACTAACTTTCTTCCTGTACGTTTTTTAAGTGTAAAGGGTTGTCACTTTTATAAGTGAGATTTAATTCTATTTGTGGGAACTATATGGTGAATGCCCTAAAGAATAACTGTTTTGCTTTGGCTCTCTTTGTTGCTGAATAACTTAGAGAAATTTGTAGCCTGTATTTCATCTCACTTTATCTCACGTCTCACCAGTCATCCCAGAGAAAAATATGGCTTCATGTAAGCTTTTTCACATTAGTCTAACTGCTAGGTTATCTCTACTTTCACAGATAACAGTATAGAATAATTGAGTAAGCAAACTAAACCATAATTCAGTAAGCAGCTATCTGAGTGTCTTATCTGGATACAGAGGAACCACTAAGCAGTCATTAATTGGGACATTAGGCAATAGCTGCAGATTGGCAGTTTGTCAAATCTTGTTTATCACAAAATAAGATTTTTAAAAGAAACCATTATTTGAAATTGAGTATGTACAATCAAATGTGTACATATGTATAGATGTGTATAGATGTAATATGATCAGTATTTTAGGATTAGAGGTTTCAAGCTAGAGGATTTTTTTTATCCCAATGATATTTTTTGACACTTAATACAACACCTATGTTGGTTTTCAGAAGGTGTTTTCGGTCTCCTACCCTACTTCTCTGCTCAGCTAACTCAGGCTTGTGGCGTATCTCCCACTTCCTTATGTGCCACCATCAGTGGCCAAACATTCAATTCCTCTGGAATTCCTTTCTTATACCACTTAGTCTTGCCACCTCTCTTTTTGACTTTAAGTCCTGCCTCAAATCCTACCTCTTTAAATATGCCTTTGGTTTTTCCTTGCTATGAGAAAGTTCTGGTAATGAGTCGGCTGAAAATTATTTCTCATCCTACATGTTTTTTCTCTTTCTGTCTCTTCCCTTTTCCTTCTCAACCCCATCCTTGTAAAGAACTCCCAAGATGTTACCCTTACCCTACAAGAAAAGCATTTATACCCTATAAATGATAATGGCACTTGGTTTATTCTCCTTATTTTTTAATTTCAGAGCATAGAAAATGGGAAGCAAACTAACCAAGAGCAAGAAGTGTAATGTGACCAACGAAAACACTAAGGATAAGGAAAAATTGGCTGAAGGAACTGCAGCAGAGGATGGAGAAGCACAAAAAGAAAATCAAGATGCGGCCAAGGCTTCAGAAGGGGATTCAGAGGAAAATGCCTCCAAGGACAAGGCTGACAAAGAGCCCCAGGCTGCCAACAACATAACAGAGGCTAAAGCAGGAGATACAGATCCAGCGAGCAAGGAGGAGACTCCAAAGCCTGAAGGTGCGTCCACTGAAGCAAAGGCAGAGCCCAAGGCTGCAGAGGCTGCTGCAGAAAAGGCCCCCGAGGCAGCTCAGGCTGCCCCTACTGCTGAAGCCTCAGCAGCGGCCGAAACCAAAGCTGAAGTGAAACCTGCTGAAGCTCCAGCGCCTGCCCAAGAAAGCAAAACGGAAGAAAATGTCTCCAGCAAGGTTGACGTGGAGGCCAAACAGACTGATGTCTCAGCCGCTGCTGCGTCCCAAGAGGAAAGTAAAAAAGCTGAGACTCAGGCTTCGGACTCTGCCACAAGCGCCGCTGATTCTGCTCCTTCCAAGGAGGCACCGACAGCAGAAGCACCGAGCTCCACCACCACTGTCCCCATAGCATCTGCCGCAGCAGAAGAAGTTACAGCTTCGGAGGTTCCCGAAGCCATTCCTGATCAAACCGTAGCAGTGCAAGAGTAATGGACAGCCTCATACAATAACCTCTCACAACCTGCATTAATTTCAACCGTACTAACAAAACTTGATCCAACTCTCTTTAACCAGAAAATTCATAAAAGGGTATATATATATATATATATATACCATGCTTTGAAAAAAAATTCCATCAGGAAATTTCAAACCACACTCCGAAATCCAAAAAATCCTGGACTTTTAATTCAGATGGCTGAAAGATAAGTTGGTGGAGGGGAGAAAAAAAAATCTGCTGAACAGCTAGCTGTAAATGTTGCAAGTATGCTAAAACAAAACCAACATAAGGAAAAAAGGTTGTGACTCTGCCCAGTGACACTTAGCAGGGCTGTGCCAAAGCAATCAGATATTAAGATGGTGTCTTAAGTTTGTTTGTTTACCAGCCTGATTTTACACAGTAGGATAGCTGCCAGCTTTCAGACCGAAGCCACAGTAGTCACTCGCTCATTACAGACCAGATCCAATAGATTTATCTCAAAACGTATTTCAGACTAACATACCCATGTACGTAGCCTACCTAGATTTCTCTTGATCAGTTAATGCATGTCCGTTGTTGGGTGCACCTGTAGTTCTGTTTAACAGTAAGTGGAAACAAGTCTGCGTTCATTGCAATTCTAGCTTCTCTTCCATTCAGTGTCACTAATGCCTCCACCACCACAACACATATTGATAACGATGAGAATTGTGAAATGGATGCATTGAAATTATACGTGATTGTATAAATGGTGCAACGGTAATAAAAAAACCATGAAAAAATAATTAAGACTGCACACTTCTTTTAAATTTTAAGCTGCATACTTCTATTCCTAAACACAACCGGGTTTTTAATTTTTATTTTCGCAGGAATCTCATAACTCCTGTTGCAATGAAACATTTGTTCTTGTTTGGAGGAACAGTATTCAGCAGCCCAGAGACTCAATATTGGTCCCTGTGCATGTCCAAATGCATATTTAAATGGCAAATTTTACAAAGGAATTTATCCATTGGTTAACCTGATGAGATCTGTGGCAGCAGTTTATACACAATATATTAAACACAAAGGCTTGTGTGGATTTTGACTGCGACTCTCTACATTCTGGCAATGTCATTGCAATGTACTTTGCATGTTATTTCCCTTTTTGGCTTCCTCCCCCAAAGCTCCACATTTGTTTAATAGGATGTGGACGTGGTTGGGGAACCAGAGATAAAATGCCCTAAGCTCCATCTTGTAATGCCATCATGTAAAACTGAATTGAGTTCTCAGGAAACATTATTAATTCTACAGTTCAAGAATAAACCAAGGTCCCATTTGGTAGGATAGAGTTAAATAGCTTTTAGCAGTATTATTTACCATCATCCATTCTGAACCCCTTTTGGGAAAATTCAAGAATCTTCTGTTCCTAGAATCAATAAAAGAGAATTTTCTGGTCTAAATGGGAGGTTCAGTGTCCGCACATGAACAGAAACACATTAACCTTTTGCTTTGGGAGTTGCCAAGGACATTCAATTCTCAGACATCTGCATAACATATGAAATCCACAAAATGGTCTTCTGGCTATTTTATGTATTTCAGCAATAGGATTTTTTGACATTTTGATATATTCTAATCTCTACAAATGTAAGCAATGATGTGTAGAGAAGCTATTGCAGCCCTCGCACAGTTAAACTGACAGTATTTTAAGCCAATTGGACACAATTCCTGAATGCTTCAAACAAACCTCACTTATGGAAAGGCATTTCATGCTTTTCATATTCATATATTGGATTGTTTTTTCCCATCATCCAATTATTGATCATTTACTATACAACTAATAGCACTTGCTGTTTCTGGAAGTTGCAAGCCAAGTTACTTCTCCATTTGGCTTCACCATAGTCATTAACCCGTAACCTCCATGACTGCTCGAATCCACCTCCAGTTCCTTGGGATGGTGAGTACTGTCGCCTTTTATAAACGATAATACACAAATCCATCCACTAACAGGGCTGAGCCTGGGAAATTCTAACAGGCAAGCAGCTGAGCAGTAAATGGCTAAGTGCAACAGAGTACATATAAGGGATATTTGCTTCACAGTACATTTGAAAGGTAATCGTTAGACACCTGATAAGCTCTTTTTATTGGCTTGTTATACCCCAATTTAAGATGCTCTCTTTATAATTTCCTTGCTTAGAGTGGGCAAATTACCTTGATACCAGACCTCTGTCAGTGCTGCTTTCAAGCTTCCTGCAGTGGGGTGAATGGGATAGACAAAGTGAATCCAGAATAATAATTTCAGACAAGCCAAGGCAGCAAGACAAGAGGGCACAACCTCATGGTTGTGAAGGACAAGATTTGGACAGAGACCACAAGGTGTTTCTTTACAAAGAAAGGAATCAACAGCTGAAACAGACTACCAAGAAAGACGGTTGATGCCAGGACGTGAGAATCATTCAAGATACTGCTTGAAGTTGCAATGGAAAGATGGTAGGTTAATATTCAGGTAAGGTGAGGTCAAATGGGTATTTTTCATCTGAACCTACTCTCTGGAAATTGAAAGTGACATCAGTGATTATATTTTCACTCCCTATGTCATATGGTGGGTCTCCTTTTAGTGACTCCTTTTGATTATACAGTTAAGATAAAGCAAAACACAATTGGAATCCAAAGAGCAAACCTGCCTCCTACCCCTTTTTTTCGGCCAGCTGAGTGTCTTGACTCATGTGCAAATCCATCGCTATATTTAAGTGTATAAAACCTGAAAAATTCCATGCACATACACATGGAAACATGGTACTGGAACGAAATGCGCACTCTCTCCCTGGAGGGATGCATCCTGCTTATCTAATTCTGGATAGTATTAGGGGTAGGATGGCAAGAGCTAAGCTTGGGGACCCCAGAGTATGCTGGAGTTTAGTAACAACAACTTAAATTTATATAGTGCCCTTCACGTGGGGTAGTGTCCCAGAGTGCTTTACAGTGGCAGAGTCTGATGATGAGCTAGGGGCAGAGGGAATGGGGAGGTGACCATAAGCACGATCAAAAATGAAGGTCTTTAGGCAGGCTTTGAAGGTGGGGAAGGAAGGGACAAGGTGGAGGAATTAAGGGAGAGAGTTCCAGAATTTCCACTCTCTGGCAAGCCTTCCCACTGCTTGTCCAGCTGGGACACCCTACAAGTTAGGGTTTTGATTTGCAGGATTAACAGGAGTTGGGTGGGAAGAATCCCTGTCCCATTGATTGATTGATTGGTTGATGAGCCAGGCTGGGTGGTACTGTCATCAAGAGTACCTCAGAATACTGCAGACCCGCCTGGCTCAGCAGCTGAAATACCGATACCGCCACAGAGGATTGACTCGATTCTGACATTGTGATGGACATGTTGCCTTGGAACCAGTTCACCTCCAAGGAGAAGCCACTTTCCTCCCCCTCCCCCACTCCCCCAAGGAGGATAGCCATTCTATAGCACTGCAAATTGAAGCAGCAGTTAGTTATTACCATAATAAATTACATTTACTTAAAAGTTTTCACTTTGAAGCCGCCAAATAGTTGAAAGAAATGCAAACCATAGTCTTTTAAGTAAGAACAGGACTGTACCTTTCAGCAGTCTAGATCATAATCTAAACTCTATGGGGATGGTGATGAATGGCTTCTGCTCTTGTTCTAAGAATGATTGACTTTTAATAAAAATAAGTTCGCAATGTTATTTTCCACTGTGGATTTGGGTCAATCAAATGACACAAGCCTTCAAAGACTTGTGACTGAAAGGTATGATATTCAAACGCTCAAGTGGTACAGCGCAATGCAAATAAGGTGGATTGCAAGAGCACAAGTCTGCTTATAATGCCAATCTTCTGTAGACACACGATTATTACAAATGTGGTACACTTCCGGCTTCTGGGATGGACAGGCTTGATTCCTGTGCATGCTTGCAGTGCATCGGAAGCTGGCTGATCAGCCATGACTATTTTTCTGTGCTCTCTATCACTTGAAACACTTATTACGTGGTTGTGGCTTCCTGCATGTTGAATACTCTGTGCAGGAAGCTGGCCACTCCGCCCGGGAATCCAAAAGTGATGTCAGCCATCTGCCACTGGAGCTCACGACTCTAATTCCAATTTCATGATCTTCTCTCCTTTTATGTTACTTCCCCTTTAAATGTTTATCAAATTCCCTTTTAAATGTTAACTTGTGGCAAAGTGTTCCATATTAAACCCGTACGCAACCTGGACATCAGGTTCGACCCCCAATTATCTTCCTCCCCCACATCCGGTCCCTCACCAGCACCGCTTTCTTCCACCTCCGACGCATCACCTGTCTCCACCAATAGCTCACTCCAAAAGCCGCTGAAACCCTGGTCCATGCCTTTTTTGTCACCTCTCGGCTGGACTATTCAAATGCCCTCCTCGCCGGCCTCCCCTCCACTACCATCCATAAAATCCAGGTCATACAAAACTCTGCCGCCCACATTCTTACCCGCACCAAACTCCACTCCCTGATTACCCCAGTCCTTGCCAGACTGCAATGGCTGTCTATCCCACAGAGGATCGACATCAAGATCCTCACCCATGTCTTCAAATCCCTCCATTCCTCTGCAACCCCCTACTTCTCTGACCTCTCTCCTCACAACTTTGCTCATTCCCTTCGTTCCACCGGGTCTGGCCTCCTCCTTGTCCCCCGAATCCTCCGCTCGACCCTTGGTGGCTGTGCCTTCAGACACCATGCCTCGAGACTCTGGAACTCCCTTCCTCACTCCCTTCGCCTCTCCCCCTCTCTTCCTATTTTCAGGTCTCGACTGAAGACGTTTCTTTTCAACCGCGCCTTTGGTCACCTTCCTCCCTCTCCCCCTGGCTTGGCCCCGGGATCCGTTACTGTGAAGCGCTCTGAGACACCATCCGGCGTGGAGGGCGCTATATAAATCCAAGTTGTTGTTATACTCTGAAAACCCTCAGCATGGAAAAGTTTCTTCTAATCTCTCCCTCCCCCAATTATCGGTTCCAGTGCCAATTTTGAGCTAATGCCCCTCCAACTGAACGTGAGCAAGACTGAGGCCCTGCTGATTGGCTCGTGCCAGCGTCTCCGCACTTCAGGCTATTGAACCTCCGCACACTCAACCTCACTAAGCCAGTCAGGAACCTGGGTGTCTTGTTTGATCCTGAACTATTCTTTCTCCCCCACATCCGCGCCATGGTATTGCCTACCACCATCTCCGCAACATTGCCAGACTCCGCCACTGCCTCACCCCTCAGGCTATCGAAACCCTCACCCACGCATTCGTCACATCAAGGTTCGATTATGGAAATTCCCTCCTCATCGGCCTTTCCAACTCTTCCTTTCACAAGCTGCAGATCATCTAAAACTCTGCAGCTCGTGTACTCTCACGCACCAGGCTCCATGACCCCATCATTCCCACCCTCGGCCGACTCGACTGGCTCCCCATCCCTCAGAGGATCGAATTCAAGATCTTCGTCCTCACTTTCAAGGCCATCCATGGCCTTGCCCCCTCCTACCTCTCTGACCTGCTGACTCCCTACCAACCTGCCCGCTCCTTCCATTCAGTGGGTTCTGGCCTGCTCCATGTCTCCCGCCCTAACATCGGTGGCCGGGCTTTCAGCCTCTCTGCCCCCACACTCTGGAACTCCATCTCACAGTTCCTTCGCCTCACTTCCTCAGCGCCTTGGGATGTCCTCCTGACGTGAAAGGCGCTTTATAAATAGAATCTTGTTGTTGTTGTTGTTGTTGTTCCTCCCTTGCCTCCTTCAAGGCCGGTCTCAAGACCCTCCTCTTCAATCGTGCCTTCAGTCACCCT